AAAAACCTCCAATAATGGCTAATCGACTAATCCTTGTTATAATTAGGAGGGCCCAGAGGATAAGGGGTGCTCTGGTTTCCCAAGCTCTGTTTTGAAGGGTTAGGAAACAGGAAGGAACTTAGGAGGCCCAGAAGCTACCCAGTGCCTTTATATCAGCCAATTCCAAAGAAAAGTCAGAAGCGAAAGGTCTGTGGGCCATGCCCCTTTAGTGCATATACATATTTCCTGAAAAGTAGGAATTTCGTTACAAATAGCAACTTTTTTTCTGGTCAAATTTGTGGAATATAAAAAAAGTGTGCAATTCCCAACTGTATGGCTTGATGAGTTTTCATAAACTGAAGCCACCTTTGTGAGCGGCCCCCAGAGCCCCCCCACCCCCCATTGGGGCTCTCCCGGCCACCAGGCCACCTCCCAGCATAACCCTCATGGACTGGTTTTATCAAAAAACGTTTTGGGCTTTGATTCCAAGCTCTCAGCTTCAAATGCGTGCCCCTGCCTCTTCCCCCTCCCCCACCAGTCCCAGGGCCCCAACAGGTGTCTGTGGCCCGGACGGACTGTGGCTCCTCGTGTCCCCCACACAGGGACTTCTGCCGATGGTTACTAGGCAAAGATACAGGCCTGGTGTGGGCACAGAATCTGATATTACGAAAGAATCTAGAAATCTAGATTTTTGTATGAAATCTCCTGATTATGGAGCGTTGGTAACTCACGACAATGTAACACACAATGGAGGCAAGCCCAAGCAGACCAAACAAGGCACACTCATGGGCCAAACTTGGCCTTCAGACTGTCAGTGGGGGGGGACCTCGAGGGGCCCCCAGGCCTGCCAGGGAGACAGGCGTGGACACAGGCCTCGCAGCTCTGAGAAGGGCTGGGCAAGGCCAGGGAAGCCTCTGCAGAGGAGTGATGTTGAAACAGCCCTTGGAAGGACAGCTGAGAGAAGGAGAGCAAGGGTGCTCCAGCAGAGGGAGGCCAGCGGGCAGGGATCCAAGGTCATGGTCTGAGGACCGGATGGTTAGACCAGCCAAGTGTTTTGGTGTCTGTGGCAGTGGGAGGAGCAAGCTAAGGGGCAGGCCGGAGCCCATCTCCAAGGATCTGGAACAGCGTTTAGGCTTTGTCGGGGGGCAGGCAATGGGGAAAGGAGGTTAAGGCGAGGGGCTGGGCTCATGGCTGTAGGAGCAAGTACAGGGGAGGGAGCTAGACGGGGCTGGCTAGGGGGCAGCAGGGAAACGGGAGGTCTTGGCCTATGGCGGTGGCTCAAGAGAGAGGAACCAGGGGCTTGGGCCCACATTTCGGGCCCCCTAAACAAATCCCACCCCCACTCACTCCTGACAAAGAGTCCCCTTGACCAGAGCAGGGTCAGGCCCCTCCGAGCCCTCTTCCTAACCTAACCCTGAACTTGGGCTCCGTCCTTGGCCAGCTTAGTCTCATTTTAGCCAGAATCCCACTGGGTGGGTTCAGCAAGAATCCCTCACCCTTGAAACCCACTCAGTTTCCTCATCCCCACCCTGGACATCTTCTCCCCCGGAGCTGCCAATCAGAGTCCTGCCAACGCCGTTCAGCGGGACTCCTGCCAGCTGCGATATTTTCTCTCTCTCTCTCTCTCTCTTTTTTTTTAAGATTTTACTTATTTATTTGACAGACAGAGATCACAAGCAGGCAGAGAGGCAGGCAGAGAGAGGCGGAAGGGAAGCAGGTTCCCTGCTGAGCAGAGAGCCCGATGCGGGGCTCAAACCCAGGGCCCTGAGATCATGACCTGAGCCGAAGGCAGAGGCTTTAACCCACTGAGCCACCCAGGCGCCCCACGATGTTTTCTCTTAATGATGTCCCACCATCGCCCCCTGCCCTGCCCCTCCGCTATAGCTCCCCTCTTTTCCTTGTGTTCAGAGTTGAGCCCCATCTCTCTCCCCTCAGGGCAACACCCCATTGCTGTTTTCCTTACCCCTGGCCACCCCCGAGGTGATTTCACCTGCTAGTGACGATTTGAAAACACCCATCTTCTCCAAGGGGCAGCCTAAGGAGTTTGTCTTTGTTTCAAACTTCCCCACAGCTTGAGTCCGAGGCCTGGTGTGGAATCAGCCAGAATTTCTGATCTTCCCTGTGTGGTCCTGGATCGACTTCTCCCAAGGCCTTCTGTCTCAGCCAATGGCAACTCTGTCCTTGGAGAAGCTCCAGCAAAATGCCCCAGGGTTGTCTTCACACCCTCTGTTCCATCCTGGAGCAACTCTTGCTGGACCTGCTTTCAAAACAGACCCAGAACCTCCACTGCTTTTGTCATCACCCTGGGCTGAGCTCCTACCTAGCCTTACCTTGCCTGGAGTTACTCACTGGTCACTGGCTGGTACCCTTCTTCACCCAGCAGCCAGAGAGGTCCTGTTATACCCTAAATCAAATCATGTCTCCCCTCTGCTCAGAGCTGCTTGAGGCTTCTACCTTACTTGGGGTAAATGCCACTGTCTTCGTAAGGGTCTACCCAGGCCTTGATCTCTCACCTTCACCTCCTCACCTCTGTACCCTTATTTTCTGCTATTCTCCTTGCTGCCCGCTCAGCTCCAGCCACACTGCTCTCAGAGTTATTGCTCTACCTCAGGGCCTTTGCACTGGCTACTCCCTCTTCCTGGAACTTCCTTTCTCCAGGATGTCCCTATGACTTGCTTCCACCCTCCTTCAAGCCTTTGCTCCAATGTCATCTTCTCAGTGAGCTCTCCTTGAAATCCTGCTTTAAAATTCCAACCTGCTCCCCTCACTTCTATCCCTGTCCCCTGCTTTATTTCTGCCCTTGGCCTTTAACACTTGCACACCTTACATCATAGGTATTAACGTTTGTGTTCTCTTTTCTCCCCGGTTCTGAGCATCTAGTGGGAGCTCAATGAGTGGAAGGATATATCAACCTCCCTCTGTGCTTCCTCAGGGCATTTCTGAATACTCAGGTGTGATCCCTGAGTCATATTTTGGTTGGGATCTGCTGGCTTTGAATGCCCAGGGCAGAGTTCCCAGCCTGAAGGTCACCAAGTCCTGCCCACATGTCCATTGTCACAAATCTCCATCTGAGGGATTGATTTTCAGAAGTGTACAGACACTCTGTGATGAATATTACACAGCTATTTAAAAGTGATACTGAAGTCCTTGCAAGTTTTTGTCCATGATGTATTTTCTCTCTCCAGCCATCCCCTCAACTCCATAATTATCCCATGGAGGTCCTCCTTCTCAAAATAGTTGGGAAGGCCTTGCATAGGGCCAGAAAAGGGATCTAATGAACGAATCTGGAGACCCCGGCCATCCTTCATCAGAGATCCTGCCAGGGACACTGCCCACAATTATTGCCACCCGCCAGCTGACCATGAGCACAGGTTCTCCCACCAGAATAAGGCAATTCATACTCTGTTAACCTTGAATTCTGCCAGCCCTGCCATCCCATAAGCTGGGGGTTGCTGGAGCAGCTCTCAGCTTGGGCAGAATTCAAATGAGCGCTTGTAATCAACATAAAATTAATTGTCATAAGCCCTGGGCATCTGGGCCCCATGCACTGCTGGTGAGAAGGGAGTTCAGGTCATCTCGGAACAACGTGGGGCTGGGAGTGCTCCCTGTTGGGCAATACCGCTTTGCACTAGAGATCCCGAAAAGGTCTGTGCAGATTTGGTCCACTGATCTTGGTTCAGATGTTAATCATAGTGGCTGGCATTTTACTGATCACCTACTATGTGCCAAATGCTTTTTTACAAGCAGGATCTCATTACAATGCCTCCTGATTACACCTACCCCTCCCCCCCCCACCTTTTTTTTTTTTTTTTTTTTTTATAGATAGACACTTGCGGCTCCCAGAGGTTAAGTGACACCTTCAAAGCCTCCACCTGGTCAAACCCCAGAACTGCCTGACCCCAAAGTCGGTATTCTTGACCATTCTGTCCCCAGCCCAATATGGAAGCATCCGGGCAGATGGTGTCTATGGGACACCCTTACCTAGCAGCTACAACGTTGTGTACAGACCTCATTGGGTGGTGTTGCCCTGGATCTCAAGCGGGGACGACCCGCAGGAGAAAACTTATTTTCTCATACACAACATCCTGTGTGGGGCACTTGCCACATTTGCTGCTGTTCCATGCTGGAATAGAGACCACACGTGACCGTAGCTTTCACCTGCCAGACAAGCCCTTCCTTTTGGTTTACACAGTCTAAGTCCCCCTGGGTGACTCCCAGAGAAAGCACAAACCCCAAAGATTCTACAACCCTGCATTCCTGGCGGGGGGACACCCCATCGGATGGGTCCTGCGAGTCCAAGTCCCGCAGAAGGCAACCCTTTCAGCTGAGCCTGAAGCTCCCTGGCTACGGGAAGCCCAGGAAACTTTGCAGTCCTGACCCTTTGGGACTCCTTCCTAGTGCTCCCTCCCGCCGGTCCTTGTCCCTCTTGGGGAGCCCAGTACTCTCTACTGAGTAGGATGCCCCCTCCTGGCCAGGTCTGTGGCCTCTCCCGCGCCCTCCCGCCCCCCGCAGGGATCCTCTTTCTCCAAGACTGCGCCTTGTCCGGCGTTTTCCACGCTTCTTAGCCCCTCCAATCGGGTGCGGGGCTCCTCAGAGGCGTCCCTTCTCTCCCGGTCCCCCGCCCGCGCCCGGCGTGGGGCGCCCCCTCTCCCTGCTTAGGGCGGGCGCCGGAACAGTGTCGCCGGCCGCCTGCAGGTGTCTCCCCACGGAGGGGCGCGCGTCCCTGCGCCGTGGCCGCTGCCAGGCGCCAGCGGCTCCTCGCCGAGGTGCACTCGCGCTCCGGGCTCCGGGCGCGCCGGAGCCGCTCCGCCGCTGCCTCCCGCCCCCCGCGCCCCCCGCTCTCCCCGCGCCGCGCCCTCACCCCCGGGGAGGGGCCATGGGCCCGCGCCGCGTCCGCCACCGCCGAACGCAGGCGCCCGAGCCCCGGGGCGCGGCGGGCAGCGGCCGCTGACGCGGGGCGCCGGCTGCCAACTTCGCGCGCGGAGCTCCCCCGGCGGCGCGGTCCCGGCGGCGCGGGCGGCATGAAGACGAGCCGCCGCGGCCGAGCGCTCCTGGCCGTGGCCCTGAACCTGCTGGCGCTGCTCTTCGCCACCACCGCCTTCCTCACCACGCACTGGTGCCAGGGCACGCAGCGGGTCCCCAAGCCCGGCTGCAGCCAGGGCGGGCGCGCCAACTGCCCCAACTCGGGCGCCAACGCCACGACCAACGGCACCGCCGCCCCCGCCACGGCCGCCGCCGCCGCCGCGGGGAACGGCCCCCCTGGCGGCGCGCTCTACAGCTGGGAGACGGGCGACGACCGCTTCCTCTTCAGGAATTTCCACACCGGCATCTGGTACTCGTGCGAGGAGGAGCTCGGCGGGCTCGGTGAGTGAGCGGCGGCGCCCGCGGCTCGGCGCCCCGCTAACCTCCCCCCACCCCGCACCAAGCCCCCGGCGGCGCGGCCCCCGCGGCCCGAGCCCCGGCCCCGAGCTACCTCCCGGCGGCCGGCCGAGGAGCCCCGCGCTCCGCAGGGCTCGGCCGTACGCCCGGGGGCGGGGAGCGCGCGGGAGCCGGCCAGGGGAGAGTCGGGGGCGGCCGGGACGCGCCGCTGTGCCGGGGCTCCGGGCAGAACTGCTTCCTTTCCCGAGCTCCTGGCGCCTTTGGGGACGTCGCCGCGCCCCGGGGAGGCGCGTCTCCCGGGCATCCAGCCCAGCGGCCGGTCGGCGGGACGCGCGCTCCTTTCCGCGCCAGAACTCGTCTCTGGGCTCGCCCCCTCCCCCGCCTTCGTTCGCGGGGCACCGGCTCCCCCTTCCCGGCCCGTCCCGCCTGGGGGCGGTCGCACCGACTGCTGCTTCGGGTACCCTCCACCGCCCACCCCACAGGTCCCCGGAGCCTGGGGTGGTTGTCGTTCTCCTAGTCGGGGCTGGGGCCGCACGAGAGTCGGGGTGGGGGGAGGCCGGTGGATTCCCAGCGGGGAGCCCCTTCGTGTCCTGGCCCCCGCCCGGGAGAGGATGCAGCGGGCGGTGGGCGAGGCGGCGGGAAAGCGGGACGGCTCGGCTCAGCTCGGCTCAAAATTGGTGGTAGTGATGATGGTGGCGGTGGGAGGGTGACTTTTCAGAAGGCAGATGAGACTGTTCCCATGGCCTCGCTCCTCTTCCCTGCCCGCCCCGGGGCAGGCAGTGAGGCCCTGGGGTGGGTGCTGAGCCACACCATCTCCCAGACCTTGTGGTGTTCTAGGTCGGGGCGTGGGGACCCTCTTGAGTGAACTGACCTCTCTCACCAAGGTTAAAAGTCTGTGCGTGCCCAGCTCTCCCATGCGCTCCAACGGGGTTTATGTGTGTACTCTGATGTGGATGGGGGCAGGTGACAATGGAGTTTGTTTAGAATAAGCCATTGGCCTGACTTGTTTGTCTAAAGGATAGAGAGACAAGAAGGTGTAAAATTAACCCAAGGAGGCCTGGGGAGTAGGGTCCCCTAACTTTGTCCCTTGTCACCACCTTTATCTCCACCATTCTTGGCACAACCTGAGATTTTCTGGAGCCTGCCTCTGGTCACTAGTTTCTTGTCCCCCATGTCCACAGGATGTCCCTGTGAGGGCAGGGCCTGGGGCCTCCTGGTTCATGGGCATCCCCAGCTGCTGGGTAATGTCTCGCGGATAGGAGGTCATCAGTACTTTTTTGTGGGATTCATGTTGGATGAGGGCCTGGGATGATAAACCAGGGGTTTCATGGGGTGCTGTCCGCACTGCCTTGCCCCTGGAGGTGCCCCGCTGAACTTTTCTCTCACCACCTGTGTGTTGCTAGCCGTCTCCCAGACACCTGCCGTTTGAATAGGGTTAAACCTCGGAACTGGTCTCGCCCCATCAGACTCCCTTCTGATGTGCACTCAGAACTCAAGTCTTTACTCTGGGATGCAGTTAAAAAAAAAAAAATGAACCTCAAAACGTATCTTGGCCAAAATTTTCAGCTTTCCACTCAGTCTGACCATGACCTTTTCCACAGAAGCCTCGTAACGTCTTATCCTGGGGGACATCTGCACTTCTTGGGGTAGAGGTCCCCACACATCACCTCCACTTGTCACCGAGTTTCCCCTTTGCGTAGAAGCGCAGCCTCCCTGTCCGTTCTTTGCTCACAGACTTAAAAGCACGAGGCTGCGTCTCTGGAGTGGTGGGGTCCCTGCCTCTGGGGGTGTCCCTGCCCCTCCGATGGCTGGCTGAGCGTCTTCACTGAGGTATCGCCTGGCTTCTCCCTGAAGGTCACGGCCCACCTCTTGCAGTGATTTCCCTGCGTGGAACACTCAGCCAGGGCTTGACACAGGATATTTAAGCCCAAGAAGTTTCCATAAAAATTATTAATTGAAAAACATTTAAAGCAATGTTAGCTTCCATTTACGGAGACTTTAAGGCACACCAGGCGCTGCGAGAACGGCTCACCTGCCAGATCTGGTTGACTCCTTGCCAACACCTCCGTGCCCGACACTCACTCCAAGGCTGCCTACTTATCAGATGAGGAATTGGGGGTTCAGAGAGGTTTTCGTCCAGGCATCCCAGCTGGTGAGGGGGCCCCGATTATCTTCAGTGACAGAAGGGGATCAGGGTGAAGTGAATGATGGATGCTATTGGGGGGGATCCAGGACGGGCACCATTTTGGGGGGGGTCGCGCTCTGCCACAGACCCTCCTCCCCAGTCCTCTGTTTGTAAAAACACGGGTGGTTCGTTTGTTGGGTAAATAAAACAAACCCACGGTTTCCCCTTTTCTCTTCCTCGCCGTTGGCTAGAGATCGCCCCTCCCAGAAAATCACAATTTTCCTCCCCGAGCGCTTGGAAAATAGTTATCAGCCTGTCAGAGCCGGTGAGGAATTTGGGAGGTCTGAGCCAGCTTGGATGGTTTCCCTGGCTGATCCCGCGATGCCCAAATCCTGTCTCGCCCCCTCTGTGGTCCTGAAAGGATGTCAGAAGTACCTGGCCTCAAACTTTCGTTGCTATGGCAACCTTTCTTCTGTGTTCCGTGACCATTTTTTAATTTATTTTTTACTTGAAGAGGGGAAAAAAATGCCCCAGCGCCCCCCTGCCCCCTACGAAATCCTGCTCTCCTCTCTCCCCACCCCCTGAGACCTCAAGGGCCATGTTCTGTCCCTCCCGGCCAAACTACAGGGAAGGCTTTATCTGCTTCCCAGCATTTTACGTTCACCCCAGTGAAAACGCCAACCACAAAACCCCGACCTCTTTGGGAGAAGCAGTGCTTGCTAACTGCTCCTTCCTCTCCAGTGCTTGTTCGGCAATTTCTTTCTGTGCCCAGAAGAGCCTCTCCCCACTCTGGGCAGCCACGGGGAAATCTAATAAGCCCTTTTACCCACATGAAAAAATCTACAGCGTTCACCAAGGAAAACTGCAGCTTGTCCTAAACAGACACAATTTCACCAGACCGGGCACAAAGAAAGCTTTTCTCTTTCCTCTAAGAAGGAGCATCAGCCTCCTTCAACAAACAGAAAGGGAATGTGGCCTTGACACAGAATTACCCCAAGCCCTTCACGCAAATTGGATTTCTCCCCTGGATTAGGTGCTCAGAAGGGCTGGGTGGTCGCCTGTTGTGGTGTTCTGTGGGCGGGGGCAGCAGAGGAAAGGTCTGGAAAAAGAATAGTGAAGGTCTGGGGGTGGGGAGATGGGCTGGCGGGGCGTGGGGTGGTCCTAACTGGGAGCACAGGTGGGGTTGGACTTCATCTCGATTGTGTTTGAACCTGAGTAAGTTGGTGACTCGAGGAGACTGGAGGGGCGGCAAGGGAGGGTCGAGGAGGGCTTGCCAGGATGCCTGGAGGCAGGTGGGACTGAGGCAGCCACAGAGAAGGGAGGGACGGGTCACGGGAAGCGGGAGCACTGTTTCCCCTGGGATGGGTGGAGGGACGCCGCCGTTTGTGAAGGATGGCAGCTCCTCGAGTCTCCTGCTGGCAGTGTGGTTTGGGCGAGAGCCTCAGTTTGCTTCCCTGTAGAATGGGGGATCCGAGCCAGTGGCACCTGTCAGAGGTGAAAGATGGCCGCAGAGCTATTTCTGGAAACTTCTTCAAGTCAGTGCTAAGCTCTCTCTGACCACCCAGTTCAGAATTGATCTCCCCACACATTTCCTGCTTGCTTTTCCTTCTAGCACTTGCTACGGACTTTACCTCAGCATTGCTTGTCTGTTTTGTATATGGCCCGCTGGCTCTGTGAAGGTGGTGGATGAGTTCACCTGCTCTGTTCCCTCCCGCTCCCTTAGCGCTCAGGACACTGGCACATAGTAGGTGCTCAGCAAACACTGGTGGGATGAATATTCGTTGTTGTTAGGAGTGCTGCTCTCTCTTGGGCTCCAAGTGTCTTGTTACCCTGCAGGGAGGCCAACAGGGGACCTCTCCCCTTTCACTGAGGTGCCCACCACACACAACCCCTCCTTTACACACCCCAGTGCTTGCGGGGTGAGGTCATTCTCACTCAGGAAGGAAAAGCCCCTAGCTGACCCCTGACCCTTGCCTTTCTTGCTTCCCTTTCTTTTCTACAGAAACCCCCAGATCTTCTGCTTGCTCCCTTAAATCGTGCCGCGATCTTTTTCATGAGTATGAGGACAGACATAATGTCCCCACCGAGGAAGCTTCTAGTGCTGGGAGTGTGTCGGTGTAATATCAGACGGGCTTTGTGTTAGGATAGTCGGATGGGTGAAGACTGGGACTTCGAAAGGCGTGGCTCTAGCCCAAGACCAATGTTGTTTTCTTCCATTTCCAGAACAGCTCTCTGACAGCTTAGTGCCATGGTTCAAGCTCTTTTCTGGGGCACAGAGAGGTGAAGTGACTTGCCCAAGCACACACAGCTACCCAGTGGCAGGGCTGGGATGTGCACCCAAGCAGAAGTTTCCAGAACCTGGTTTTTGCCTGCTATGCGGCATCACACCCCCACCAACCCAATTCAGTCCGGCTCCCCGGGCTCCTCCAGCAGAAGAAGAGCTGTGCAAGGGAGTCATGAGCCCCAGGTTTGAGTCCGGGCTCCAGTGCCAACTTGCCGAGTGACTCTGGCTAAGTCCCATTCCCACTCTGGCCTTTTCTTTCCTCATGTGTGGAATGAAGGTTTTCTGTGTGTGTTTTTCTGTCTGGATGATGGAGGCAACAGAGAACCCCACAAGGACCGGTTTTGGGGACAGACAGCCGGGGCCTCAGCCCCCACACCACTGCTCTCCTGCTGTGTTGCTTTGGTTGGAGGCTTGCCCTCTCTGGGCCTCAGTTTCCTTGGCTGGGACACAGGGACCATCAGAGCTGCCTTCCCAATCCTGTTGGAGGTAAAGCTGATGGTGTGGGCGCTCCGTCGGCACCCAGCAAACACCTAGTAAGAGCTGGAAATGACCCTGTGGCCTGCGGGTCCGCTTGGA